ACGCAAAAATTCTATCTCAGCCATTACCTGGAGCGATAACGAGCCTGACGTTGAAACAACTGGATCGGATGTCAAAGAAATCTCGGGTAACTTTGTAGCATTTACTGCACGTGTCGCTGGCTGTTCGGAATCTGTTGAAGGAGCTGACTCAGAGAGTGGTGAATATGTCTCCGCGGAAGACTTAGAACTAAATGCTTTATCTTTTGAAGTTGAGTTTAATAAGTTGTATCCTAAATGGGAAGCCCTACAAAAAGTAAATCATAAACTAGCTAGTGAGATAGAGATTGTAACAAATGCTAGTAAAGTATATCAAACTCAAATAGCTGATAGGAATGTACTGCTTAAAGAAGCAGCTGACCGACAAGAAAAATTACAAAACGAAGTACAGTCTGGGAATGTACTGCTTAAGGAGGCAGCCGACCGAGAACATAAACTACAACAAGAAGTACACACTTTGAAGCAGGAGCTAAGCACCTACAAAAGGCAAATCCAAATGATGGACACCACATCAACACATGATAAAATCCTTGATTCCGGAAGAAAAACTTTTGCAAAATTTGGTTTGGGCTTCACCGGAAGCAACTCAAAAGATAAAACGGTATTTGTCAAAGCGTTTGGACCTGATCCAGAGGACATCCTTGAATTCAGCACAATAAAACGCTCCTATGGTAAAGTAAGCGCAAATAAGTTCCATTATAAACTATATAACCCCGTTTGCCACTATTGCAGGTTACGAGGTCATACCAGACCTGAATGCTACTATTTCTACAAGGATCAAAGAATAGAGAAGTTCAGGCACAAGAACATACAACCCTTCACAAAACAAATTTGGGTTAAAAAGACTGATTATATTTCGTTTGTTTCGTTTCACACTAAAAGTGCAGGAAGGGAAGAGAAATGGTATTTTAACAGCGGGTGTTCCAGTCACATGACAGGAAATGTCAAATTCCTGAACAACGTAAATACCAGTAAAGGTGAAGTTACCTTTGGTGACGATGTCAAAGGTCAGGTGACTGGCGTAGGCACTCTTACTGTCTAATTCCCTCAAGCAGGTATTTTTTTATTTATTTAAATTTTTTTTTTGTAATCTAACAGTTTAATTTTTGTGTTACGTAAGTATGTCTTGCAGGGACAAAACTGTTGTTGACATAATCTTCGAACTTAATTGGCCGATTTATTCTCTCTTATAAACTTCTTTTCATGTTACTCCTAGAAGACCCATTCAAGACAAACACCAACATCTTCTCCTACTTACACTCAACTACCTACCTTTTAATATTCACATCTATGCCTTATAGTCATCAAATCCACACGCCTTTTCAAAAGAAACATCACATCACATATTTATTACTTTGTCTCCTCTTTGTCTCCACTAAGCTGAGATCATCACCATCATCCTCTCCAACCCGTCATCTTCCACCATTTTTATTCCCTAAAGCTTCTCAAATGGAAAATCCTTTTCTCTCCTTCGTATCTCAATCCGAAAGGGCAACTCTTTTTCGCAAGATAATTGATGTCGTTTCTCCCTTATCTCCTGAAGCTACGGATAAGATTCTTGCCACTATCAAATCGGATGTATTTCTCCTTGAAGGGCTCACAGCCAAAGAACATAGACAAATGCTTGCACTGGCTCGGCACATCACCACTACACCCTGGACAATCCCACCTGTGACAGTCGCTGCTCCGGTTTCTCCTCTACCCGAACTTGTGTCTCTCGCATCTTCTCACAATGTGGTATTTCTCTTCGCTTCTGCTTCTTTAGACTCTGTGCCCAATCTATCTTCCTCTAGAAAAATTGATTTTAGTGTTCCTTTGCCTGATCAATTTGTGTCTACCGTATCTCATGATAATTTTGGGGTACAAAATCTGCCTTTACCTGGTGATCCATATGATCCTTTAACTCACAATTTACCTAGAAGTACTGAAAATTAGTAGCTTTGTCTGATTTGGTGAATTTCTTGCCTTCTACCTTTCCTATTTGCAATATTGCCCAGCATTCTCTGATTCTGTTATACCCGTGTCTTGTCCGGCCTTTTCAATCCCCATTACTATTTCTGCTTCTAAAACTCAGTCTAAACATGCGCCCATTTCTGTTTCACCTACCCAAGACTCGGTTCCCATTATCACTGTACCTCTGTCTAAAACTTCCTGAAAGGGAAAAGAGAAACTGTCTATTTCAGGTACTGCAGAAAAGAGGAAGGTGTCTCATTTAGATGATGTGGAAACTCAATCTGACCGTAAGCATCAAAGGAGGGGTTCCACTCTTCCACCCAGACTCACTCGGTCACGAGCCCTCACTGAATCACCAACTGTACCAGTTCCATCCGGCTCAAAATCAAAGGGGTCCCGCAAAACTTACGAAGGAAGAAGACTTTAACGAAGAACAATTCCTCAGTACTTTGAAGGCTTCAAACACTCAGGAAGTTGGTACACACTCTAACTCTTCTCCTTTAATTGGTATTACCTGAATACCCGAGTTTGAGAATCCTAATGTGTTACATTTTTTTTTTACTGGCAATCTTTTTTCACAGTCTTCGTTTGCCATTTATATTTTTTTTCTCTTTCTCTGTTTTTTAAATGTGCCTAAGATGAATTTTGTCTTTTATTTTATGTGAGTGGCTTTAAAATTGAACATGAATTATCCATTCCATCTTCTATATGTGTGTATCTCTGAATCTATTCACACATCAGGTACATTTGATCATTCTGGATTCGTTCTCTTTACTTGTTCGTTTAATTTTTATCTTTAAAGTGTTCGTTCAATTTGCCTGGGTTACTCTTTATGTTTGGTTATTAGCTATTTCTGTATGATCACTACATGTCCTTTTTACATTTAATTTGCCTGGGTTACTCTCTAAAGTGCTCGTTTAATTTGCATGGATTAAAGTGTTCCTTTTTGTTCGTTTAATTTGTTGCAATTTGATTAATGTGTTTATTCTCTTGTGTTACTTTGTGTATGTGATTGTGGTTTGTTTAGTCCGGTCATGACCGTATTTGTATTTATTCATGTGTTTCCCGCGCTATCTGTGCCTCAATTGTTTATTTGTGTGTTTTCCGTGATATATGGTCTGAATCTGTGCCTAAATTTGGTTTATATGTGTCTATGTCTGAATTTGATTTATTTTGAATCTTTGGCTTGCTTTACATAATGTGCTTACTGTTTTATTTGCTTGTGTGTTTGACTCGAATTGGAAATTGAAAATTCCTGTTTTTTTTTTTCTTATGTGTTTTGCTGAGTTGTTTGCAAGTTTCGTGTGCATGGCTCTAGGGCTCTCGTTTTTTTTTTTTTTTTTTTAAATCTTCTGCAGGTTCAAACAAAGCAAATAACTTATTATGGAGTCCCAATTAAAGCTTCAAGCTAATGTTAAATGTTTGGGCAAAGCAAGCAATCATGATGTACATTTTGAGGGGGAGTTCTTCTTAATCTTTTATGAATCAATTCCATTTGTGTATTAATTGGGTATATATGGATTCTCTTACTGGACTCTATCAGTTTTTTGGATTATCTTGTTGGGTTATCGTTTTATTTGGCTCATCATAATCTCTGTGGTCTGATTTTATAATCATCACCTTATATGGATTCTCTTACTGGACTCTATCAGTTTTTTGGATTATCTTGTTGGGTTATCGTTTTATTTGGCTCATCATAATCTCTGGGGTCTCATTTTATAATCATCACCTTATTTGGATTCTTCTTGGTTTATCTACTTGATGAGATTATTTATGAGGAATATTTTGGATGTGATTGCTTATAAGGCTGTATCTTCTTGGTGTATGATATCTGATACTGATGATGCTGCTGACGGCTCAGTTTCAGGCACCCCGTCTGCACGGTAAAACTAATCCACTATTATGATGTTCACCTTCCTTTGTCATTTATTTGGCAAAAAGGGGGAGTTTTTGGAGTAAGGGTGAGTATTTTTGAATACTTTTTGATCTTTTGGAAGTGTTGGATTATTATGGAAGTCATAGGACTATGATGAGGTATTTGGCAGTGGTTATATTTTTTTTGGAAGTGTTGGATTATTATTGAAGTCATAGGACTATGATGAAGTATTTGGCAGTGGTTATATTTTTTGGAAGTTTTTTCTGTTAAATCATATTTGTTAGGGGGAGTAGTAGTTCTGTTTGATGCACCTAACAAGTTGAATGGATGTTTCGTTTTATGCTCTACTCACATGAACAAGTTGATTTATGATGTGGTATGCTATGAATTCGCTATGAATTCAAGTCTACTGGTTGTGATCCCAGGCTTGAAGAATTCTAATAAGGTACACTATTCACAAATGGTCCAAAAAGGAATTAAGTTTAATTTTTTTTGTTGTTATACCTTTGTGTCTTGTTCAAGTACCTATACTAAGGGCTATTAATAAAATTATATTGATTCTTATTTTCTGCCCAAAGTATTTGATACTCAAGTTTTACCAAATAAAATGCCAAAGGGGGAGATTGTAAGTGTAAAAATTATTTACACATTAAACTAACTAGTATTGCACCCGTGCGATGCACGGATCAAATTTTATATAATATTATATCATTACAGTTTTAAGAAGAAATTGTATTTATACAATATAAAATTTGATTAGAGAAATATTCTGTATTAGATAAAAAATAGTTATAGAATTAATATTTATATATTAGGCAAGGGACAAAATGAGCTCCATCAAATATATATATATATATATATATATATATATATATATATATATATATATATATATGACATTTAATATGATGAAAAAAGAAAAAAAAAAAAAAACTTGAGTTGAATCTCATTAAAAGTGTGAAATAATAATCCAAAAGTTCTATTTGTTAAGCCCAAACATTTTAAAAATGGTCAAATTAATTACTCATGGACCCCTTAAAAAAAAATTACCCATGGACCCCTTAAAGAAAAATTATCCATGGACCCTTTCCTGTGCTAAGCCCAATTCATTACTCATTGGCCCACGTATAAGTAGCCGAAGCCTAAAACGAAACCCTAATTCAGCCAGGCAAACCGCAAGACCCTTCCCACTTTCTCAGTTCTCTCCCTTTCCTCCTCCAATCTGTTCGTACGGTCTTGGCCTCTCGTCTCTCTCTTGATTATTCTGGATAGTTCGCTCAAATCTCATTATGCAATCGCTTCCCTTCTCAGCTTATATCTACCCATTTAGCATAGAAAAAATGGTTTCCACCTCGGGTTATATTTATCTTTCCGTGAACGATCCCTCCTTAACAACATTCATCTGAGAATCGATAACAATTCTACTCAAATCTACAAAACATACACTGTAACGCACGAATCCGTGACAGGAAAAGCCAACTACACCGGTGTGTAGTATTACAAAGCAAAGATGGTCCGAATAAAAGTCAGATTACACTCAGATTTGCTAAAGTAAGTTTTAAAAAAATAACTTTTTTTTTTTTTTTTGTTTTCAGTTCGAATATAATTTTTCTTCATTTTTATGCATTTTCCAGATTTCCACCGAAAATAAGTTGTATTAGGTTTTAAATTTTTTTTAAACTTGTTTTTAGCCGATTCAGAAAATGTCAGGTACTACCGTACTATGTTATGTTGTCCGATATTTGTTCAAATTCTAAAAAAATGAGAGAGGGTGGACATAGTTAAAAGAGTTAGGGGCTTAAAGAAACTCCAAGATGGAGCTCAATTGAAATGATAAATAAAATTTAAGTTTTATATGCAGGCAACCAATTTCATTTGCAAATTAAGGAGATAAATGAGTTGGAAAATTTAACTGCTATGAAGACCCCCTACCCCTTGGTTATATTCCGGATTTCCGTTTGAGGATGATGAGGAGTGCATCCTTTCAAGTCATAGTTAGCAAATTATATAAGGACTTCTGAATACTCCTAAAAGTTACATCAACCATTTTTAAGAACTGATGCTTTTTGTGGTGACCGCAACAGTTTTACAAAATGTCTATCAAGGATGACAGAGCCTACTTTAATAAAATAAAAAAAAAATGAACCAAAAAAAAAATCTTAGTTTCATTATATACCAAAGAAGCAAGGAGCCTGCTTTTATATTCAGATTATATTAGTTTTAATATATATTACCACTAACTATACATTATATGTTTTTCAGGTTTTCAACTATGGAATAGGGATGGTTGTTTCTATAATTCAAGTTATGCACCGTAATAGATATAAAGATATCAAAGGGTCAGTATATTTTGTACCCTACCATTTCCTCAATCTCTACCTCTATATTGTGTGCTTACTCTTGTAGCCTATGATAATTAACCCCTTTATCTTTTCATGGTTGTTTGATTTGCTCTCTCATATTTGAAGTTTATGCTTGAAATTGGGAAATTATTCCTATTTATCAGCTTGTATGATAATTGACCATTTATTTTTTTGCCCTGGAAATTGCATAAAACTGCCTTAAAGTGTCCATAATGTCATCTTTTTATTTTTCACTAAAAAATGTTCTCTTTTTAAAAAATTAAAAATGTACATTTAACTGTGCATCTTAATTACTCAACTGAAAATTACATTTGTTTTTTCATGTATCTTTATTGCATTTGTATGACTAAATTGGTTTAAAATGTATGACTAAAACTGAAACCTGTATTGTATGGGTAGTAAAAGAACTATTTTCTGGTTCTAGTCACTATAACCCTGCCTTCTTTGAATTTAGTTCTGTCCTTCTCAATTAGTTTTATAGTACTTAACCTAAACTAACATTTTTATTAGTTTAAGGAATATTAAGCATATTATTTTCTAGAAAACTACTATGAATGCTTGCATCACTTACCTTTGAATCATGAAACAAACATTCTCTGCTCTTGACATTATTTCTAACTGTTATATGACCTCTCTTCTCACCTCTTTTATACTTTTTGGAGTGAGTTTGATCCTTTGGTTTGTCTCTTGGGCATTATGTACTGTCCTTCTTGGTAATTTCAGTACCTTGCTGATTAGCATGTCCTTCTTGGTAATTTCAGTACCTTGCTGATTAGCATGTTATATTTCTTGTACGCAAACGTTTATTTTTTGAACTATTAGATTGAATTACCTGTACTGTATTTTTCTTTCTTTGCATAGATATTAACAATTAAAATGCAGGCAGATGATCACGTTGAGTTTGATGAGCATGGATAAAAGTCTCTAGTAATATATTATACGGAGTATTAAATTTAAAAACATGAATGCTTGCATTACTTCTCCATCATGAAACATACATTTTCTACTTTTGAGCAACAAACCCAAAGCCTCACTACAAATTCTGACAAGTTAAAATCTGAGTTGTTATCACCATGCTCATAGTATTACCTAAACTGTAAAGATAATAAAAAAGATACATTGTGTACTTACCTCTGTTATCTGGTAGATGTTTCTCTTTTTGCCAATAACAGTAGAACTTGTTAATCTCATGATTACTTGTGTATCAATGTGCTTTCTCAAGTCATTTGAATTCTGGGCTTTGGATTTCTGTAGAGTTGGTTTTAACAGTGAGCCAAATTATTGCAGCTATCGTTGGTTAGTCATTATCAAGGCATGAGCACCCACACGAACGCCACTGTTTGCTTGGATTGTGGGTTATGCATCTGGATGAGTGGAGTTCTTCTTCCCTACTTTTGCTGTGGATTATTTTATTTAGTAATAGCTTTATTTGTTTTTAATTAAGAAATTAGTTAGAGTTGTTAGAATTTAGTCTATTTTGGACCATGTGATATCTAAATGTGTGGATGGTATGCATTGGTGAATGAAGACAAAGACAACAGCGCATGAAGCTTTCAAAGAGACAAAGTGTTGTGGCTGTGATTTAATTTGAACAAAATAAAAGGCTACATTTAGGGGTCGTTTGGTTCACGGAATGTCAGATTACCTTAGGGAATGTTAGATTGCTGGGAATGTTAGATTACTGGGAATGTTAGATTCCTATGTTTGGTTAAAATTGGGGTATGTAATATAATCATGTTTGGTTTAGGGTTATCTTTTATACACACTATAATATCCTTAACATATTTTCATATATTTTAATAAATTTAAAAATTAAAATAAATAAATAAGATAACGGTATCATATATAATTACATGATTTTAAAATATTAACTAAAATCTTGAACTTGAGAAACAAAATTATTTTATATGCTAACATAACATAATAAAAATAAAAATATATATAATTACAAAAATAATTATATATAATAATAATAATAATAATAATAATAATAATAATAATAATAAACTAACATAACCAAGGTTATCTTACATTACCTAAGATTTTGAAGGGAATCACATTCCCTTCAAAATCCTATGTGGAGGGAATGTGACATTCCTGGGGAATGTTAGATTCCCTGAGATAATGTGCACCAAACATAGGAATGTGAGCTTTGGAATGTCACATTCCCTTGGTTATGTTATATAACTTGAACCAAACGCCCCCTTAAGGATCAAAAAGGAAGCTCAATATCTGCTATAAAAGGATGCTATAAAAGGAAGCTGTTCGAAAGAAGACAAAGCTGATTTTTGGAGATTAATATACTGAGCACACATCTGATTTGCAAAGCTTCCTATTTTAATATGTTCTATGTTTAATTCTTAAGAATATTTAATCTGTACTACATGATTAGTACGTGGTACTGCTGAAGTATCTTGTGAAGCTTGTTCGGGTATTCGTGTGTCAGTCCTGGATAGGTGTTAGAAAGAGTGGTAGTGGTAAAGGCTGGAGGCCATCATATTTACCTCTTGTAATACTCTTTTTGGTGAACATCTATAGTGGATTGGGCAGACGTGGGTTGCCCTGCAGACGTAGGAGAAGGAGCTCCGAACTGCGTAACAATTTCTTTGTGTTTTTACATTGCTTTATGCTTTCTGCAGTTATAATTTACACTTGCTTAAACGAGTTTAATTAATGAACGTAATTGGAGCATAACTTAAATAACAAGTAAAAATACATTGCTTTTTGATTTCAAGTCTCACGGTGCAATTTCAAATTTGTTAACATATATATGGGCCACATAATTTGTTCAATTTGGCACTCAAATAGCACGTATGATGCACAAAATAGATATAGATAAAGGAAATGCAACAAATAGATATTGTGTGTGACATTGGGTTAATAAAAAAATTTAGTATCCAATAAAAAAAAAAAAAAAAAAGAAGATGGGATAAGCACATCATTCTCATGGTTAACTACTTACATAGAGCGAAGATCCTTGATTGCCACCTTGGGTTTTCTACTCATTTTTCTACAATTTTTCTTAATTTTATTTTTAAACATATACATTTATGTTCTACCTGCCAACTACCACCTTGAAAAACATCATTATTTAATTAATGGAATTTCTAAATTTGTAATTTACTTGAATTTAAGACATTTAATATTTAACCTTTATTAGAGATAATCTTATATGAACAATTTGAATTCAATTAAGAATCTAGGGCCACATGATCACAGTTCAAATTTACTAAATTTGGTTGAAAGTATTGTCATAATATAATACCTCTAGTATTGTCCACATATTTATTCACAACATTCTCCCTTGGACATTACTATCTCATGCTCACGCCTCATTAAAAAGCACACTAGAACACCTCAGTGGGAAAAATTTAGTTGGGAAAGGAGAATATGAAATATGTGTGTTAAATTGTTAATGAGTTGTGTCGTTAAAAATCTTTAATTATAAAAATAATATCAAACCTCAATCAAAGGAAAAACATTACATCAGTTGGTCTTCAAGACCCAATCTTCAGGATTGATCTAAGCAAATGTCCTTCCCACAAGAGATAAAAATCTTCAAACCTACATGCTTTAGTCTAAATACCACAAACATGAGGCAGTAACATAGTTTGAAGCCATTGATGTAAGTTATCGATCTAAACTCACAAGAAGAAGAAGAAGAAGAAGAAGAAGAAGAAGAAGAAGAAGAAGAAAGGACCATCATATCATTCCCACGGTATAATGTTTTCTTAGAGTAATGGGCATCGATAACTACCTTGGAGTTCTTTAAAAGCCATTTGAGGGTTAAGCTTGGCCTTTGGTGATCGAGCAACTTCTTCATTTCAAAGATTTTTTTTTAGCACACTCATTATGGATTCAATTTTGCACTGATATAGCGTGTTTGATGCACATAATGAATTTTAGAGGAAAAATAATCATATTTCATAGGCAAAGGAGTATGACATAATATATCTTGTATGTGATTATGGGTTAATAAGAAAGTATCTAATTAAAAAAAATGGCGCATTACTGGGTGACAGAGAACGATAATTGTTGAGTTCTCTAGCTTTCTAAAAATTAATAGAACGAGATTAAATTTATAAATTTAAAAGAATCGATTGATAAATAGTATAATTGTTCTTATTTTTTTTTTTCAAAATACGTACATTTATAGATAGTTTGACATGATCTCTCATAGATAGTTTAAATGAAATTAAGAATCCATGGTCATGTGATCTCACTCAGATTTTGAAGTATTGAATTCAGATTGACTAAATTTTCTTCAAAAGTGATTTTTTTTTTAAACAAAAAAAAAAAAAAAAAAAAAAGCTAAACCTAAAAATGATTTGCCATTTGTAAGATTGCATAAATTCTAATCCTGTAAATTTCTTTTCAATGGCTCCGTTACTTTATTTTTTTAAAAATTCATAAATGCCTAACGTGAAAACAACTTCAATTTTGTTGTTGTTTATTATTTTTATAGATAATATATAACATGAAAGAAGATCCACATAGATATGAATGAGATTGGAATTATATGAATGCAAGAAATAGTAAATTGGAAATGTAGTCATTTAATTGCTTTTTTTTTTTGGTGGTGCCATTTAAGGAGTTTCAATGAAGTTTTATTTATTTATTTTTTAAATTATTATTTAAAAGTTCACACTGCTGGAAATTATGGAATTTCCGACCACCTGAATGTGATCTTAAATCAAGTTGAAAGCCTTGTTCTGACCACTTCTGGTATCCGGAAAAACCTTTATTGCTATTTCCGACCACTTTTTGGTTTCGAATTTATTTAAGATCACTTTCAGGTGGTCGGAAATTCCATAATTTCCAGTAGTGTCAATTTCACTATTTGGCCACAATCAAGGGTTAATTTGACCCTTATCTCTTGAATATTGTAATTTCTGTTTTCGTGTTAAATATTGCTACTAGATAATATTTCAGTATGATTTTGTTTGAGTGGCAGACTTATCACTGTCTTAGACTAGTTAATAGATCAGTGAAAGAACTTGGTGCGGAAATTAAACCAAACAAAGGTAAAAGACACAAATATTGTTTGTAGCCATAACCTTCACATTCATAACACTGGATGATTCCTTTGCTTGAACACTTACCATTACTCAATGAAGAATTTTTAGAGTGTCTAGTGCGAGAAGATTGACTTTGTCCGCGACGTTTGAATCCCTTCAGGAACTTCTTGAAATTCTCAGTCAGCAATGCTCGAGATTCATCATCTAAGTCTACAGCGTTAGAATCTTGATCAGCATCTGTGGTGAATGCCACATATTTGCCTTTACTGACTGAACTAGTCTTGTCATCAGACAGCACTTGAAGTTCGTAAGTGTGTAGACTACCTATTAGTTCACCAACATTCTTCTTCTCCCAGCCTCTTGATTCTTTTGAATTGCTATAACCTTCATACGAAACCTCTTGGGCAGTGAGTGAAGAACTTTCTTGACCACCCTTTCTTCAAAGAATGGTTCACCAAGAACGGATGCCCTTTCTTCAGGGCTTCGAATTCTGAAAGAACCATTTGTAATTTTGATTGCTTTACATCATCGATTCCTTCGTATCGAGTTTGCAAGATCTCCCACGCCTTCTTGGCTTCTTTCACACCAGTGACTAGGGTGAATACAGACTCATACAATGATCCCACAATTGAATTCAACGCCTTGCTGTTGTAATCTGAGAGAGTTAATTCATCATTTGACCATTCCCCTTCTGGTTTACGGACTGTCGTACCCTTTGGTTTATCTTTTGTAGGAGGTGTCTAAGCAGTAATCACAGAACGCCACACCCTAGCTCCTTGGGCTTGAAGATAGATTTTCCCTCTAGCTTTCCAGAATGAGTAATTAGTACCATCCAACAGAGGTGGCCTATCCATGTGTCACAAATGACTCACACAACAATTTTTTCGCCAGAAATGTAAAAACACACGAAAGTACAGAAATACTTTCCGATCAAGCTGGTCATTATGTGGACTTAAAAGCTCTGATACCAATTGTAATTTCTGTTTTCGTGTTAAACATTGCGACTAGATAATATTTCAGTATGATTTTGTATGAGGGACTGATTTAGCACTATCTTAGACTAGTTAATAGATTAGTGAAAGAACTTGGTGTGGAAATTAAACCAAACAGAAGTAAAAGAAACAAAATATTGTTTACCCAGTTTGATACAACAGTTTGATACATCTGGGGGACCATCATCAGTGAGTCCAATCCACTATCTCAACAGCAAATCAATCAGACGGTAAGAGAAAACCTTCTCACCCATTGTGTGTTACACACCACAAGGTAATACCCAATCTTTTGAAAGCTATAGAGGATTTTCTAGCTTGGAGATCCGTGCTTTAACGTCCAAAGTCCCTTTGGAGATCCGTTCTGTCGCTGTCCATCTCGCTGATCCACTCACCATTGCACCATAGTTGTATTGAATACGGTCCACTGATTTAAGCTTTGTAGAACTTCTTCCCAAGAATCTTATTAAACTCAGATATCATCAATGGTGTCTTGAGAAGATGATAACTTAAAGTATTTTCTTTGTAATTTGTGAAGAAAGTTTCTTTATATTTAAATCTTGAAGATTTTTTCTTGTAAAGCACCTCTCTTTTTCTCTCTCTCTTTATTTCCCATGTAAACATCCAGTATATATAATACTTTGAGTCTTGGAT